TGTTGGTCGTGGACTTGTTGGTCAGCGGGTGGACTTGTTGGTCGTGGTGGACTTGTTGTTCAGCGGGTGGACTTGTTGATCTTGGTGGACTTATTGGGCAGCGGGTGGACTTGTTGGTCGGGGGTAGACTTGTTGGTGTTGTTAGTGAATGCACGTGTTAATTGTTGGTATGGTTGTGATCAGTGGTGTATTCTGGTGTGCTAACAGTTTTATTGTTTCTTTGTTTCTGTCTTGTCGCTCCTCAAAGTATTTTTGGAGCCGTTGTTATTCTTTACAATCTGTCATTTCAATAAGCTCCTGGTCAAAATATGCTATATTCATTTTAAACCTTAATTACCTGTAATGAGTTCTGATGTCAGGTGTTCAGTTTACATGTACTGTGTAAGAACAGATTTAGTGGGTTTGATTTTGGTCCATTGTCATCAAATGGTACCAGAGTGTACCGAGACGACTGGTCAGAAGACTCTCTCTGTCCTGCTGTTGGACTTCGTCTTCATTTCTCTGCTGGAGTTGGATGCATTAAAGTCTTTCCTGCTGTTGTCATGTCAGAGAACAGCTGTAAAGTTAATTATTTTTATTTTTTATTTCAGTGAGGGAGCGAGGGTCAGAGAATCAGTGTCTGTGAGTTCACCACTGTAAAAGGTTGTACTGTGAAATTACTTTGTGAAAAAAATATTGCCAAGCCCTACCAAGAACTTTTAGTTTGTGGTTTATAATGAAGAGTGTTAAGAGAGTAAAAGTTTTAAAAGTCACTGAAGAAGAGGTGCAAATACAAATATTTCATAAAAGTCCCCAGAAAGTGTTTAAGATGAGAAATGCTGTATTTAATGTGTCCACCAAATCAAACCTCTGCTGCTTGACGTTAGCTTGACAGTTTGTGTCTTCTCCACAGCGTCACCACATCGGGGATCGAAGCCTGTCTCTGTGCAACATGTTCCTGGATGAGATGGCCAAACAGGCCAGAAACCTGATCACTGACATCTGCACTGAGCAGTGCACGCTCAGCGACCAGGTAGGAAGACGCATTCAGTTTGATGTTCTGGGAATTTTTAAAATTTTTATCCAGTTATATCAGATGTTATCTTAACAAGTATAGTTGCTGGGTTTCTTAATTTGTTTTCTTCCTTTCCTTTTGCTTGTCAACATTTTCAGCTGCTTCCTAAGCACTGCGCTAAAACTATCAGCCAGGCCGTGAACAAGAAGAGCAAGAAGGCGACGGGCAAGAAAGGCGAGCCGGAGAGGGAGAAACCAGGAGTGGAGAGCATGAGGAAGAACCGACTTCTGGTCACCAAGTCAGTTCCAATATCAAACATTTAAGGAGCTTTTAGTTTATTTTGCTTTGATTTGCAGCAGGCTGCTTTAAATAGCTCTGTTTTAATTAAAAAGCTGTTTGTGTTGATGAACCAACCAACGAAAACAGTCCTAACGATAAGAAACGCTCATTTTTACCTTCGTGTTATTCTGTTAAACAGACTGTAAATTGTTTATTCTGTGTTTTTAAACATGGACTTTGTTTCATATTACCTGTTAAAACCCAGTTTGACCTTTTTGTCACCCCCCCCCCCCCCTCTCTCTTTTTATTCCAGTCTAGATAAACTCCACACAGCGTTATCTGAACTCTGCTTCTCCATCAACTACGTTCCCAACCTGGTGGTGTGGGAGCACACGTTCACACCGAGAGAGTACCTCACCTCCCACCTGGAGATCCGATTCACCAAGTATGACCTTTAAAATAACAGCCATATTCATCTTTTTGACCTCTGAATCTAATTAGGGGAAAATAAAAGGACACCCTGTTCAAAGTTTGCACATATCAAGGAACAATAATTAATGCCAGCCAGATGTTGCTGATCATTGAACACTTGTATGAAACAGGGTTCCTGAGCAGCTTTCAGATGCACTTATAGTCTTGTCCAGGTCTAAATAAGTATGGAAAAAATAAAAACTGAGTATAGAAAAACATCAGGGTTTCCAAACTCTCATCTTTTTCATTTTGTATAAAGTCTATCCATCCATTATCTTTACCCACTTCTTCCTTTGTGGTTTAAAAGTTGCTCAGAGAAGAATTTTTCATCTTTTATAACAAGGTCATCAAGGAAAATGTTTAATTATTTACTTGACAAGCTGAAACAAGCCCATGTAGGATGAATGAAAAAAAGACTAATTTGTTTATTTATTTGGGTAGGAGTGATCAAAACTTAAGATTTTGATTTAAAAAACATTTTGCCTGTGCAAAAAGAATTTTATAAGTATTTCCTAAGAATTAAAATGAATAACTGAAGCATCAATCAATCAGTTATTAATCAGTTATCTTCTGTTTATTCTGTAGTCGGGTTGTGGGGGCAGTAGCCTTTATGGGAGAGTTCCAAGGTGTTCTCAGATCAGCTGAGAGATGTAGTCTCTCCAGCATGTCCTGGGTCTTCCCTGGGGTCTCCTCCCAGTTGGACATGCTCAGAGCACCTCCCTACGGAGGCGTCCAGGTGGCAGCCTTACCAGATGCCTGAACCAGCTCACCTGGCTCCTCTGGATGTGGAGCAGCAGCTCTACGCCAAGAATAAAATCTGCTCACTCCATCTCTAAGGGAGAGTCCAGCTACCCTGTAGAGAAAACTTTGACCACCTGCATCCAAGATCTTGTCGTTTTAGTCCCTACCCAAAGTTCATGACCACTGGTGAGAGTAGGAACTTAGACCAACTGGTAAACTAAGAACTTCCAGTGTTTCCCCTAGATAACTTGCCATGGTGGGGTGCCCATCTCCCCTGTGATTTTTTGTCTATGTGGCAGTTGGTGCCAGAGACGCAGCTGAGTTGCACGCTGTTTATACCAACAGTTTTGGAGCGGGGGTGGGGGGTGTTTCAGCATCAGGGTTCAGCGCCCTTAGCTTTATAACTAGTGCACATGTACTGTATTGTGCACTGCCACTGGCTATTGTATCACGCCAGTGCTGATGGGGGGTGGGGTGGCACAGTTTGGTTTAGTAGGCGGGGTGCTTGGTTCTGTTAAAGGGACCGGGCACCCCACTTGTGTAATGGTATGGGTAACATTTTCTTCACCTTGCATCTCAGCTTCCTATTTCACCTCAACTGACCGGCACAGAGTCTGCAATACTGTGGAAGCTGACCCTGAGCTTGCTTACTAAAGCTAGCTATTGAGAACCGAAGCGCTGAAGGAATATAAACTAGCATCTTGCAGTAATAAGTAGTGAAAGCACTTTTATTGATGACAAGCATTTACAAAAACCCATGTGTACATAATAAAATGGTAGCATTGTACAAACATGGTAAAATACACTAAATCAGACGTTTTCACATAAATAACTCACAACTTGATGGAAATGTCTGAAAATGTCTGGACAGTATGGATTTTCATGTAGTAAAGTATGTAGGAAGCTGGATAAAATCAGGAGTTTTGCCAGTTTTCTGGTCTGGAGCTTACAGATGTGTGCTAAAACAACATCAAAGTGGAAAGACAGCAGCAATGACTTTAAAGAAGCAATTGTTGCCACCATTCAAGCTGGGCAAGGTCAAAAATCATTTCCAAACTATTTGGAGTCCATCTTTCTATACAGATGGAAGCCATTTAAGACAGCTGCCAGTGTTACCAGGAGTGATTGACCCAGTACTGTCACCCCGAGGTCAGACTGTGCAATACTCAGGCCTCAGTTAGCAGGTTAATGGTCACAACATGACAACTGGTGAAAGACTGGACACATGTCGCTTGTTTGGAAGGTTTGCAGGAGAAGATATCAGCATGTTGGCTGCAACAAGTCCAGAACCTTATTCTGATAGTCATGTTGAGTTGGGACCATCTGAGAACTGAGCAGAACCCAAAGATGTTAGAAAGAGTGGGCCAAACTTCCTCCACAACCACTGAAGACCGATAAAGTCCTACTGATAAAGTACTTGCTTCCTGCAAATTGATTTAGATTTTCTGCAGTAATAGCACTGTGTAAAATGTCGTGTTTTTGTTCATTTGAAGTGAAATTTAGTGTTTTAAGGCCAGTAAAGAACAGAAAATCTTTTTTTTTTTCAATTGTTAAAACATATTTTAAAACATTGACTTGAAGTAGAATGCTGTTTTCCCACATTGCAGTAAATACTAGAGTAAGACTTTCAGAGATTCATGCTGTGATGGGATTTTCCTCCATGTCTGTTCTTCAATCCCCTCCTCTCCTGCCTCCAGGTCTATCGTTGGAATGACCATGTACAACCAGGCCACGCAGGAGATAGCCAAGCCCAGCGAGCTGCTGACCAGTGTCCGAGCCTACATGACAGTGTTGCAGTCCATTGAGAACTACGTCACCATCGACATCACTCGGGTTTTCAATAACGTCCTCCTGCAGCAGACGCAGCACCTGGACAGCCACGGCGAGCCCACCATAACCAGCTTATACACAAACTGGTGTGCCAGACTTCACCCTTCACAAAATTCAACAAAGATATGCTCTTACCGAAATGAGGCTTAAACCAAATTTTGTTTGTCTGTAGGTACTTGGAGACGTTGCTTCGTCAGGTCAGTAACGGACACATTGCTTATTTTCCTGCCATGAAGGCCTTCGTCAACCTGCCCACTGAGAACGAGCTGACGTTCAACGCTGAGGAATACTCCGACATCTCCGGTACAGAAAGATCCACTAAATCTGTCTGAAGCGTTTCCTGGTATTGATAAAAGAAAATAACAGCTTTGTAGGATGGTCTAACACAGGGCTATTCAACTGGTGGCCTGCGGGCCAAAAATGGCCTCCGGGTGACTTCAATCTGGCCCACTTCATTAAAAAAATAATAATTGGGTGTGGGGGGATGGGGGGTGGGTGTCTGTTCATTGCATTTATGATTCAATGCAATAAAACAAACAAATTTAAAAGGTAACAGAGCATTGTAAACTTTGGTTTATTTACATAACCGTGTTAATCGCTGGATGTCCGGCCCTCGAGTTGGTAGCTTTCAGAAACTGTGGCCCCCTGAGCATTCTTGTTGATAGCCCTGGTCTAACATCTTTTATGAATGTCCACTGTTTTACATTTTTAGGATCATTGATTTATATATGTTTTATTTGTCTTTGTTTTTAACAGAAATGCGTTCACTGTCAGAGCTGTTGGGGCCGTATGGTATGAAGTTTCTCAGTGAGAGTCTGATGTGGCACATTGCTTCGCAGGTTTCTGAGCTGAAGGTAAACAGTCAGTGGAAGACATTCCTTTGAACCGCTAAATCACCTTAAAAAACATGAAAATGGTTATGACTCTGTCCATTTCACAAATATTGAGCTTAAAAATAAATAGCCCTCTTCTTCTCCATTCCTCGGGCATTTTCTCACCCTCAAATATGCCATTGAATATTTAAGTCAAAAGCCTCACTGCCATCTCTCAAAGACATTTCCAAACCTCCACTGGTATGTCATCAGGTCTTACTGCCTTCTCCTTCTTCATTCTTTTTAGAGCTTTCCGAACTTCACCCTCATTAATCTTTCCCACTTCCTGGTTCACAGTTTCTATGACCTCTACTCTTCTTTCTTTCATTCTCTTCATTCATTAGCTCCTCAAAATACTCCTTCCATCTTCCCATCACTCTCTCCTCACTTGTTAGAACATTCCCATTTCCATCTTTAACAAGCCCAACCTGCTGCACATCCTTTCCAGCCTGACCCCTCTGTCTTGCCGATTGGTACAAGTCCTTCTAACCCTCTTTAGTATCCAGCCTCCCATACAATTTATCATACGCCTTCTGCTTTGCTTTAGCTACCTCCATATTTAGTCTACGTCCCATCTCCTTGTAGTCTTGTCTTGTCTTCTCAGACCTCTCACTGTCATATTTCTTCTTAGCTAGCCTCTTTCTCTGAATAGTTCCTGCACTTCACTATTCCATCACCAGGTTTCCTTATCATCCCTTCTTTGTCCAGATGACACACCAAGTACTTTCCTACCTATCTCTCTAATTACTGTTGCTGTAGTAGTCCAGTCATCTGGAAGCTCTTTCTTACCACCCAGAGCCTTTAACAGCTCCTCTCTGAATTTCTCACAACATTCTTTCTTCTTCATCTTCCACCATTTAGTTTTCTTATCTGATTTTACTCTTTTTCTCTTCTTGACAACATCAGTCATTCGACACACAACTGTCCAATGTTGTCTGGCCTTGCTCTCCCCTGCCACAACCTTACAGTCTCCAATCTACCTTGACCTGCTGATATAGAAATTATTATTTTAATGCTTTTATGTCAATCTAGACCTATATTACACTTATTTAAACACACTTATACAACGTGTTATTCACATATTAGGGATTGTATTTTGTATTATGTTTTCAAACATATACTTTGTGTGTGTGTGTTGCTTATAATATTTAGACACTCTTTGATGGTTTGCAGAAGGGACGAGGAGTGCTCTTTAGGAATGCTTTAATAAGCATTAGGAGTGCTCTTGACCTGGAAGCTTTGGCCCGCTTTTACGGTCACAGGCGCTCCTTACTGGAAGGATGAGCCATCGCTTTTGATGATGGTTTAATTAGATCTGTTGTTCTGGTAACCATCAAACTTGCTTTGATCTGCTCTCACGCGATCAGGGAAGCCTTTATAAGAAATGTATCAGACAACAGAGAGTTGGAAG